GACATTATTAAGATAGTGTTCTATAAGTAGCCTAATTTTTTACCTAAAATCTTCCACTGGTTTATGTTGCTGTTGGTAGTGGTGGTGGATGCCATGAAGCCAATGACCACTCACAGGAATCCCACATGATAAAACGGAACTGCCCCACTGGACTTTCTGGGTTATAAACTTTATGGGAGTAGCATGCCACATCTTACTTCCTCAGAGTCCCTGGGTGAGTTCCAACAACCAACCATCCAGTTGTTGTACCACCAAGACTACACCATATAGAAATGTTTATCTCGATTTCTCAATGAGGAAATTGGGCAAGGCTAGAATCTGGATCCAAAAAGCAGAAAGCCACTTGGTGTCAGGCTGCCCAACTGACTCATCAGCTGTACAGCCTGATGTACGTGGTTCATCTAGGACCTCCCCATTCTGGCTGGTGAATCTGAATGGGTGTCTCTGATCCCCATGGTTCAGTGGAAAGAAAAGAGCTTCTAATGCTAAGCTCGGCCCAGCTACGAGCCTCCCCCACAAACCCTGTCCTTGCCAGGGCTCTTGGTGCTCATGTGCATCTCCTGAAATTGCTCCTAGAGCCTCCTCCTCACTTTCTCCGTTGTTTGTACTGAGTGAACTGGAAGGGGATGAAAGGAAGCTTCAGTTATTATATACCACCAGCGGTCTGATAGTTTCCTGTACTGTGGTGGCCTGCATGCTGCTATAATGTTGAAAGTTATATCCCCAGCATCCCAGATACCAGTACAGTTATGGTGGATAGATTTCAGCAGTGCTTCCAGACTCAAACAGACTAGGAAAAAAGGCAGAGATGCGTTTTTGAAAAACGAGTCAGGCAATCCTTATGAATCACAACCAAAACTGGCAGAGTGCTGGAAGATGAGCCCTTCTAACTTGGAAGGCCCTACTCAAGACCTCTAAGAATGGACACAGACATCCAATGATCATGAAGACAGTGTAAGACCAGGAAAGGTTACAGACAGAGTCCCCAGGAGGCAGCCAATAATGACCGGATTAAGTTTTAGGTGCAACCGTGTTTTTCTTGTCATAAAGGACTGCTTTACATTTCTGGGCTCCACCTGAAAAGCAGGACCTGTCCAAAGGACAGTCCTAAGACCCTGAAATATGTTTTTTCCCCCTTATTCTCTACTTCGTATCAAATGCTGCCATCACACGTCACACGACTCCATTCATCATAAACCCTCTCCCAGACAGCATTTTAATTTCCAGTCTGTCTTCCAACATGGAAGGGGAATGACATCCCCTGATTAGAGGAATCATGCATCCTTGAACCAATCAGGTAGTATTTTCAGTGGTCCTCCTGAAATCCACTCACTAAAAAGCATCCATGTTCCCTGCCCATCTGTCAACTTCACCCCTTTGGAAAGTTGGTCCTCAGTTTGAAATTTGGAATACAGTTCTTGAGGATACCACACATGTTCTTCAGTCGAGTAGACTATGCAGAAACAAGGTAGCTAACCAAAAAAAGGAAGTAAGCTGTAATACATACGAAATGCTCCCATCCTCCTATGGCACTTTCTTTTTATGAAAAAGAAAATCATTTGGAATCCAGCATAAGTTATCTTTGCTTGAGGCTATCAAGCACTGACTTGGCCAAAATTAACTGGTCTACTACACAATCACACACACACACACACAACACTCACAAAACATGATACCCAATGTCCCCCAGTTTCCAAGTGTGGAATTGAATCTTTAAAAACAAAACAAAAATCTGCGTTGTCCTGAAATCTTTGTCTTCCTTTCTGTTAAGGGTCAGCAAACATTTTTAATAAGGGCCTCAGAGGAAATAATTTAGGCTCTTGTCAGCCACATAGTCTCTGTCACAATGACTCAAGTCTGCCATTAAAGTGCACAAGCAGGTATTGACAAAATATGAACAAATTGGTGTGGCTGTGTTCCAATAAAACTTTATTTATGAACCCCAGAATTTGAATTTCATAAAATGTTTGCATGTCCCAAAATACGAAGGGGTTTCAAAAGTACACAGGAAAAATAAATAAATCCATTATCTTTCAATTTCATTTTTCCATAAATATTTTCAAGCCCCCTTGTAGTTTTCTTTTTATACTTTTTCCCAACCTAAAATCTAAAACCGTTCTTACTTTGCTCACAGATGATACAAAATAAATCAGCAGAGGGAATTGGCCCACAGGTCATAGTTTGCAAACCTCTGCTCCAAGTCAGCATTTATCCCAGCTCCAGAATCAGCCCAACGGGACTCCCTTCTACTCCTATCCCAGGGCCTGATTCCCAGACCACTCAGGGAGTGGCTCACCTCATTAAACGGACCCAGAAGACATGATTGAGGCTTTAGACACTGATCTGTTCACTACCATCTTCCTCTCTCTCCCTCTCCTAGTCCTGATCACATGCTTCATAAGCTGTATTAATTAATCAGCAACTTCTATAGCTTCACACCACTGAACTATTCACCACAAAGGCTTCCACCCCTTCACCTGAGCTTCACTTTGTGCTTGTTGTTGTTGTTGTGAAGTGCTGTCGAGTCGGTTCCAACCCATAGCGACCCTGTATAGGGTTTCCGAGGAGCGGCTGGTGCGCTTGAACTGCCGACCTTGCAGTTCAAACAGCTTTGCAGTCTGGCACATTAACCCACTGCACCACACCAGGACTCCCACTTTGTGTTTAGCCCTGTGTTTTTTAAACAACAGGAATTGAAGAATAATGACGTCAACCTTCTAATCTAATAGAGATCAAAGAATGTTCTAATCATCTAACAAGTGATTCTGACTCAAAGCTGATAATTTTTATTAATTCTTTTCTGGAGAGCAACAACTCTGAAAATAAATACATGTAGGAATGAATAAACAAACAAACAAAACCATTTGCCCTTCTATTTCATAGTGATGCAGTGAGTTACATATGGGACTGCTAACTGCTAAGTTGGTGGTTCAAAACCACCAGATCCTCCACAGTATAAACAATGAGGCTTTCTGTTCACGTAAATCCTAAGGAACAGTTCGACTCTGTCTTACAGTGCTGTCATGAATCAGAATGGACTGGTGACAGCAGATTTTTTTTCCTTTCTGTTCCCTTTCAAATGCTCAGGCTTAGGAATGCTTACTTGGCGAGTCACATATCTGTACGAGTGATTTCATCTTCAAGTAAGGACCACAAAGGGCATCCAGCTCTTTGGGTCAGAATGACCAGACTGAGAATTTAAGATGTGAGAATAAAAGGTCCAGTACACACTACAGCTTTGAAATCACCCCCGTGTCATAAATACCACAATTGTATTCTGGGGCATTCCTATGTACACAAGCCTATATTTGGGCACAGTCTTGTGGCTTTAGGGAAAGTGGTACCTGATCAGGAAGACCTATAACCCTCTTTTTTTCCAGGGTGAGGAATTTGGGTTTGTGTACTCAACACTGCAGACTGCTGCTCAACTCCTGGCAGTGGGTGGGGGTGGGCGGAAAACAGTTACCACAGTTTCAAGACTTCCTGCCCACACAAAATTCACCAAACATACAAAGAATTGGACATCTAGTGGCTAGAAACAAAGATATTCATTTTCAAAGCTAAAGAGACCCAACTCCAGGGCAAAGCCTCATTTTCCAAGTGGAGGCTAACTTGAGCCATTGCCTTTTCTTGTAAAAATCTTAACAAGTTTCCACATGAACTGAGATAACCTTTGATTTTATGGACAGAGAACCCAGAAATCACTGCAAAGTTGTAAAACGGGCAGTATGGAAACACCACTTCAACTTCTAAAGATGTCTTTGTGTTCCAAAAGATGGAAGGAGGTGATCAACTGCCATTGTTTCCAGTTTTAAAATCGGGACAGTTCTGGACAAGCCAAGAGGAGACTGTCACCTTAGAAAGTCTCTTCTAGCCCAAGTCTTGGGAATTTAAATGTAACACATCAGTCAAAACACCTAGCATGGGAAAGAACGCCAGCCCTATCCTGAAGAAATACATGACTCATACTAGTTTTATGGGAAACGTTCAAAAAGTAATGGTAACAGATAAGCTGCAGACTATATCCGGGTTATAAAGGACAAAAGCTCATTCGTATGTGACATTTTTAGCTCATCTATCATGTCTAGACCCCAAATACATGTAAGAAAGAGACTCAGACTGACATCTACAACTTAGAAGCCTACTCAAAAAGAAGGTTCCTTTCAGAGACATTCCTAATCCCCAAAGGCACTTGGAAACAACCACTTTCTAGACTAGCCTAGTTGTCTCCCATCACAGCAGAGTGTCACACTCCATGCAGGGGCAAAGGTCACTGCAACCCCTAATGATACAAAAGAGAGTGGAACCAGGGCTCATTCATTCCCAACCAATTGGCAGGACCAATTACCTAGACAGTTACTGGCTGCATCCATGCTTGATTTTCTTTTAGAAAGAAAATGACAACCAATCAGGTTCATCCAAAACTCAAAAGTCTATGCTATCTTAGATAAAGATTCTGCCCTTTTTCTCTCTTCAGTTCCAGTTGTTAATGCTCACCACTGACTCTCAGATTGACAACCTTTCAGACCATAATAGTCTTTGCTACCATGAGCACCAGGCTTACTTAGTCATGTGAGCCATTCACCGCTTTCAGAAAGATCAGCTTTCATAAGGACTGAAACCAAAGGAAGGTTAGAGCAACTCTTCACTGTTCTGACTAACCCAAAATCTCCAGTGTCCCACTCTTGACTAATAAGTACAGATGCAAATATTAAATCAAAATATCATTACTGCTTGACCAGGGTTAACCCAGCCATTGGCCATTGTACAATAATTAGGAGCTTACTGTAATTCCAGTGGCTAGCATTTTCAGATGGATAAAGGGACAATAATAAACTGGACATTCTATGAAGTTTACATCAGATGCATTTCTTCTAGAGACACTGAAAATACAGGCCCTAAATTTTCCATAGAGAAGACTAACAATTAAGAGTGAAATAATAAGCAAACAGACACTAAACAGTTGTGCATAAAACTGCAAAAGGAAGAACAAAACCTACCTTCTTTTTGGAGTGGCTTCTTTCCTCCTCCTTTGTAGCTTTGCTATTTTTCCCAGCCCGAGACAGCTTTTGGTCTCCAGACTGCTTGATGGTGATCTTGATCTCAGGTGGGCATATATAGTTCTCCAGGTTCTTTGGGGGTTTCTTGGCCCGCTTTGTGGTCTGAATCTTCAGCTTCAGACTCCCCTCACTGAAGTTCGCCTCCTTGATAGAAAACTCCTGCTCTTCCAGGCCATCTCCTGCCACCCATTTCTCACTGTCTGCATTGGAGTTAGAATCCACATCGCGCCCTGAGCCCAGTTCATCCTCCTCCTCTGGCTCCATGCGTTCTCCACCCACCGGTATCCCCTTCCCAGGTCCTGGAGCAGAGAGCAAAGGTTCTCCTGCACAGCCGGTGGCAGCTGGGGGCTTGGCTGAGGACACTGGCAGGAAGTCCGACTCGCCCCCCCTTTGCCGGGAGCTGCTTAAGATTTCCCTGGACTCCATGGTCATCCTACAGTCTTCAGGCGTACTCAGGAGGGCAAAGGAGCAAAGGGGCAAGGAGAAGGTGAGAAGTTAGGATGCCCCAAATTCCAAGAACAAAGTGGTCCAGCTGCTGGGTTCACAGTCCCAAAAATGGAGACACGGTGAGGTGCTCAGAATTGGTCAGATCTGCAACTGAGAAGAAGAGAGATGATTAGGCAAGGCAAGAAAAAAAAGGACCCCTAAAGAGTTCCAAGGTACATTTTGCCCCTTCCCACATCTCTCTGCATCCATCAGAAAAAATGATGGAACAAAGCCAAACAGAATGTGCACCTCCCTCAGTTGGATTTTAATGACGTGAAAGGGACACATACACACACACACACACCTTCATAATGAATTGTTATTCATTTGTATGGCTGTGGATCCAACCAAGTATAAAGCGATGAAGGGCAAGTTCTCCAGCCCCGTTACATGCTAGAGGTTTCTTACGCGAAGCCTCAACCGGCTGAGTCACCATTAAAACCACCCGTAACCAAAGGGAAGCTGGAGTTGTTGATGATTAGGACTAGGTGAAGAGTCTTTGGTTGGCTTCTCATACCACTTCCCTCTTACATATGAACAAGTTTGCAAAGCTGATCATGGGCCCTGAACTGCCTGTACTAAGAACATTTAAGTGGCCTCTTGACCTTCCTTTATCATTTCTTATTACGGATTCTTTCAGGTATACAAAAGTCTCCCACTCATTTCTTGGAGCTTAGGTACAAGACTTAGAAAGAGGAAATGAAATGGGTGAGTTTGGTGGGAAATCATTTATAGCACTGTGATTAATGCAAAGCAAACTCTAAAATCGTTTCCCTTGACTCCACAGACATTTAGCTGTTATAAAATAGGTAGATAAAAATAGGCATTCTAGATGGGTTTTCATTCCTTTTCTCGTTCCTTCAACGAAGTGGCATTGTGTCTATGTAACAACAAAGAGCGAGAGCAGAGGCATTTTACCAATCTGTGCCCTTGAGAGGCACAAACAGTTAATGCACTCAGCTGCTAGCCAAAAGGCTGGAGGTTCAAGTCCACCAAGAAGCCCTTCAGAAAAAAGGCCTATCTGCTTCCAAAACTCAGTCATTTTAAAACCTTAGGGAGCAGAATTCTACTCTGACACACAAGTTATCACCATAAGTCAGAATCACATGGGCAGCAACTGATTTCAACTGGTTTGGGTGGTGTCAGGAATCCCTCCCAGGATCCTCATCTCTGCTTTCCTCCCAAAGAAAAGAAAGCATCTAGATGAGGTTGTCTCTGGACCATGTTAAGATCAGGTTATTCACCTATGTAAACTAACATATAATCCACAATAAAAACTTGAAAAAAAAAAAAAAAAAAAAAGATCAGGTTAGCTGCCCTTCACCTTTATCCACTACATATCCCATAATTTCCAATTTCAGACTCACAATTTCAAAGTGCAAAAGGAAACCCAAATGCTCATTCCCAAGAGAAAAGATAGAGTTCTGAGGCTGCCCACAACCTGAAGGCATCATCCCCTCGGCCCTCAGGCTGTAGGTTAAATCATACTCATGCCTACTCAGACAGCTGAACACTCAGCATTGCCACTTCTGAAGCATCAATTTAAAGCACCGGCCAATCACCATTGGAAAATGCCCAACAGTGCCTGCAAAGACACATTCAGAAGAGCCAATAACTGAGAACCTGAAGACAGGGCACATGCTTTCTCCCCCTGGACTCAGTACACTTTCAGTGGGCGCCCTGTGAGGAAGTCAGCCAGCAGGGCAGCGGATACCCTCATGGACCCTGTTCCTCACAGACGCCCAGGAAGATACACAGCTCCTGGAAAGTGCTCAGCGCTGCCGAATGACACATTTACAACTGCTCCCACTTAGAAGAAAATCCAATGACTACAGGAATCCAATGAATTTCAGGAAGAGATGAGGCTGCCCTTGGCCAGAAAGGGAGGCTCCTCATTGAATCTGTCAAACAGACATAGAACCTGTGACCCATGCTACAAAAGTGGGAAGGTCTCCCTCTTGGGAAGGGGAGAGGACAGTTAGACCAGACAACTTTCAATGTTTCTTTTGTTTGTAAGATTCTTTGTCTCATCTAGACTCATCCACCCAACTGCCCCCAAAACCTTATATAATTTAAAAATTCATATTCCAGTCTATGCTCATTGAGGCCAATCTTGCTAGAAACAGGCACCAAGCTAGCTGTCGAAGACATCAAGGTGCCTTGGTGCATGCATTAAGCATTGAAGACCCAGGAAGTCCTTCTCAGATCCATACGAACTGTCAGCCATGTTTTCTTATCCTAGGCGTGTTTAGTGATCTACTCCCTCTGACCAGAATCTTCAGTGTCAGCTGACATCCCTGATACCTATCTATAAAGCTTTTCTTGGGTTGGGGCAAGAAGTGAGGCATAGTCTCCACAAAAAGTTTATGAAAGTTGAATCAACAAAGTAGATAAAAGATATATTTACAATAAGAAGGAAGGAAAGCAGGAAAAAGAGGGGAGAGAGAGAGCAAGAGTAGCTGCTGAGGTTGCTTATGTACAAACACCTCATGGGATTTGGGCCCTTGGCTTGGAGGTTTAGGGTCATGATTTCATGAAACACTCAGTTAATTGGCCTAACAGCAAGGCTAATGCTTTTGTTCTACCTCCTCATTCATTGTGTAGTGTCTGGGGTCTTAAAAGCTTACAAAGGCCATTGAAGACACAAAGATTGGTGTCTTAGTCGCCTGGAGCAATAGAGGAGAGTCAGTAGGAGGAAATGGAATGTATGAAGAACGAAACTCCTTCATGAAAAACTGCTTCCTTTTTCATGAAATGACAAGAAGAATTAGATGGCACCTGGCTACCATTACTGAAGCATTTTAATCAAAGATTCCACAGAGAAATCTTTGAGAGTGGACTATTTCATCAAAAGGGGAAAAATGCAGAACAGAATTTCATATTCCCATGGACTCTAGACTTTCTAGGGCCACGGGAGCTGGATGAACTCCTGAAACAATTGCACTGTGATCATTTTTAAACCTTATGCCACAAAATATCCCTCGAAGTCTTACAATAGTTCAGCTTAACTAGTAAAGAACGCCTGCCTTGAGTATTATGCTCTTTTAAGAAGTATCTATAGGTGCTCAAATTGATAACAGGCACTCCGAAGATTGGACAGGAACCTTTGAGTACAGTGATTTTATGTTAATGGCAAAGGAACAACTAAGGGAAAAAGGGTGAGAATGGTTGCACCCCTTGAAAAATATAATCAAACTCACTGGCGTGTACATGCAGAAACTGCTGAACTGACCCTGTGTGTTTTGCTTTGCATATTCTCAACAACAAAAACAAAATAAAATTTACTTTCAAAGTCTCTAAACTAATTCCATTTGGGCTTTTGATGCCACAGGCTTTGTGATGTGATAAAAGAAGGTGGCACCTATATTATAAATTAATGGATGGTGGTATGAAGTGAGAACATTATTAATATTAAGAAAGCATCTCCCATTAAAAAGGTTCATTTCAGGGTGTCTCATATTTAACTGCATAAACTATCAAATAATTTATGAGACAAAAGTTTTAAAACTATAAGCTAAAACAGTAACAATGAAAATTCAATGCACTATTTTCAATTCTCTGCAAGTCAAAATCCTCAGACGCAATAAAACTCAACCTCTTTCTTCAAGGTTTCACTCTTAAAGACAGAGTTGCAAAATCACTCGCAAAGGGAAGGTTTTTATATGTTCTGTATAATCAAGAATCCTATGACGCCTGCCCACAATGAGTGACCCTGTTAATATCTGAAACACCAGTAGCATTGCTTCTAGGATCCTAGCAACAAGCAAGTCACTTATGGTACAACAGACTGAGGGACAGGTGGTAGTGACAGACAGGTTTCAACAGAGCTTGCAGACTAAGACAAACTCATAAGAAAGACCTGGCAACTTATTCCAAACATTAACCAAAGAAAACCCTATGGATCATCATAGAAAACATAGTGACATAGTGTTGGAAGATGAGTCCCCTAAGTTGAAAGAAACTCAAAATACACAGTGGCCACAACCATGAACTCAAGCATACATTACGCACATGATAACTGTGACGATGGCGTAAGACGAGGCAAAGTTTTTTTCTAATGTACTTTGGGGGTTGCCATGAGCCAGAACTGACTCGGTGTCAGTTAACAAAAAACAACAATGGAAGAGAATAGAAACAAAGAGAAGAGAATGTGTTTTCTGCTTGGGTACCACCAGTACCAGTAGATAGGAAACTACACAAGAAAACAAGGAGAACATAAGCGCTGGCTTTGACCTTGAGGACTTTGAGTAAGTAGATTGGTAGAACGAAGACAGAGCCTGCAGGGAGAGCATAGAATGTGTTTTCAGGAAAGAAGAGCTAGTTTGGCTAGGAGTGTCATAGACAATGTGACCTGGTGAAAGGTTTATTAGAAATAAAATGTTAGAGCCCGATGCTGGGAAGTGCTTGACACGCTAGAGTTTGGACTTACAGGGAATGAGTCATTTATGGGGTGTCAGTCGGGAGCATCTCTATGAAAGCTGTGCTTTAGGAAGGTAATTCTAGCATGTGGTGTGAGGGATAGATTAAGGGCAACTTAATAAAGGATAGAGGATCCTTGATAGCCTAGTGGATTACAAGCTAGGCTGCTAACCACAGGTCAGTAGTTTGGATCTACCAGTCTCTCTGAGGGAGAAAGATGAGACTTTCTGCTCCTGTAAAGATTCACAGTCTTGGAAGCCCTACACAGGGTTGTTATGAGTCGGAACCTGCTTGGTGGCACACCACCACCACCACCAATAAAGGATATGAGTTCTGATCTGGCACTGTTGGATAAGCACTGGACTGCTAACCCACCAGCTGCTCCTTGGAAACCTTATACAGGCTTGCTATGAGTTGGAACAGACTCGACGGCACCTAACAACAACATAAACAATCAAGGATACGGGAAACTGTAACAAAGGGTCAGCTGAAACCTGTCCACCAGGAGTGGACCTATTGATACTTTACAGATCGAGGATACTAGAAAGGAGACTTGGCGGAAATTCAATTCATGTGGCATGAGGACATGAACCAGGGCAAAATGACATACTACAGATGAAACAATCATACAGCTTTCGAAAATCCCAATCTTCAGAAACATTGATTTCAGACTCTCCACAGTGGCCCATCTT